GTGGGTGTGTGGGGGGTGTGTAGTGTGGGTGTGTGTAGGTGGGTGTGGGGGGGTGTTTGTGTGTGTGTGATTTCGAGATAAAATCTTGTTCTGTTGCCCAGGCTCGAGTGCAGTGGCATAATCTTGGCTCACTGAAGGCTCTGCCTCCTGGGTTCAAGTGATTCTCCTGCCTCGGCCTCCCAAGCAGCTGGGAGGGGGGGTGCGCACTGCCAAACCCGGCCAATCTTTGTATTTTTAGTAGAGGGGGGGTTTCACCGTATTGGCCAGCCTGGTCTCACACTCCTGGCCTCAGGGGGGGCACCCGCCTCATTCTCTGAAACTTCTGGGATTACAGGCATGAGGGGGGGTGCCTGGCCTGTTATTTATTTCTTTAGAGATGGGGTCTCACTGGGGGGGCCAGGCTGGTCTCAAACTCCTGGGCTCAGGTGATCCGCCCACGGGGGGGTCCCAAAGTGCCAAGATTACAGGCGTGAGCCACTGTGCCTGAGGGGGGGCACTGTCTTGACTGAGGCGATGGTTTCACAGGTATAGACGTGGGGGGGGACATCCAAGGGTACACTTCGTGTGTAGTTCATTGTAAATCAGGGGGGGGCCATTAACATAATATGTGTGTGTGCGCGTGTGTGCGCCTGTGGGGGGGGCTGTGGAAACCAGAAGCCCTCTGATGCATGTGTTTGTTCTTGGGGGGGGCGCCCAGAGCAAGAGTCCCAGCGCAGTCCTGAGCCACGAATCGGGGGGGGCTCACTCTGACAGTGCCAGGTCATCTACCAGCAAGTTAAGAGGGGGGGCCTGATGTTAACAAAATAAGGAAATCAGAGGTTTGTCTTGGCGGGGGGGCGTGTAGAGACCCGGTACTGAGTGACCGCTCTGTGAAAAGCTGGGGGGGATGCTCTGGGGGCCTGGCACCGAACAGAAACCCACACCCTCAGGGGGGGTATGTTCCAGTGCGGAGGGGACACGGCAATGAGGAGGGGACAGGGGGGGGAGGAGGGGACACGGCAGGGGGGAGGGGACACGGCAGGGAGGGGGGGGGACGGCAGTGAGGAGGGGCACGGCAGGGAGGAGGGGCACGGCAG